CAACCATTTTGTGGCAGACATATACAATGATTCCTTGCAAGCAAAGATCAAGTGATCAACGTATAATGTTCACATCAATAGTACCATGCAAGCGGGAGGGGCATATGTGCATTGAACAACAATGTGCTGGCCAACATGTGCAGGGTAATCGGTAATGAGTGCAGCTCAACTAGTAGCTCAAATCAGCATACTAACAAACATACAAAACCTGTTTACAAAGATCAAGTGATCAACATATAATGTTCACATCAATAGTACAATGCAAGCGGGAGGGGCAAATGTGCATTGAACAACAATGTGCTGGCCAACATATGCAGGGTAATCGGTAATGAGTGCAACTCAATTAGTAGCTCAAATCAGCATGCTAACAAACATACAAAACCTGTTTACAAATAATAATACTCCCTACGGACATATGCATGTAATGTGCAATGAATGTCAGGACATTCGCACAAACAACAATGCAGTGTGCCAGTGTCGAAGGAATCCAATCTGCTATAAAATTAGGACCTTACTGCGCCTCCAAGTTTAAGGCGAACACCTTGGAAATTGCTTGAGAAAACGGTGGAATATCGGGAGAGATGGCGACTTCTGGGGGCATCAGTCGATTGCTAAACCCGTTGGTCCTCTATCTGAAGAAGATGTAGTTGGAGCTCAACTGCATGACCTGCTTGAATATTTTGAACCAACCAATGTTGTTGCCTTGTGATCATACCATGTGCTATTCTTGTGATGGGATATCCACAAATGATAGATACATCTGTCATGATTACAGACTACCTTATGAACGTAAAGATTGAGACCTATCACTCATATTAAAAAGTTTCTTACTATTTACAAAAATATGAGTTCAATTATATCTTTGCAGCAAGATTCCTCATTTGACATTACTGACATGGATGTATCTACTTCTGTCTCGTGCAACAACCATGCTGAGACGAGGCATACTCATTTTGCTGGAGCTGAATGTTTTGTTGATCCAATACAACTAAGCCCTTCAATTGATAATTTTAAAGATTATGATAGTGACAGTTGGGATAAAGAAGGACCACATGATATGAAGAGGGAATCCGCTGATATGTTACCAGAGGAAGGTCCTAACTGCAGCACTAAGCATGCTAGGTTGAATGATTCTTGAGAGTCAAACAATGATCAGTTGAAAAATTGTCTCGATGAGGGGGCATACCAAAGTTGATTTGGATGTGAACATCATTGAGATCTATATATTTTTTTATTCCTTCAGAAATGTTGAGGCTTCTGGAGAAATGATGCATGCCTTGAATGGAGGACAAATATTTGAAGATAAGCTTCATAATTTAATGTGCTACACGTGCATTATAAATGCGCAGAATAAGTTCCTCAAGTATATTATTCTGGTGAGAAAATTGTGAGTCTGGATGATGAATTTTCATGTCCCTACAAAGACTAAATGTTGCAGTTGTAGGTTGAAGGGAGTTGCTCCTGGTTGTTATATCAAGAGTTACAAGAAAAAATTCTATGTTGCATGTGCATATCAGATACTAGACTATCATTCGGTACTGAAAACTATCTTGTGCTCTGTCCTTTTCATGCTTCGAGGAGACTACCTTGTGACAAATCAAAGACAAAAGAACCTAATAGTGCATTAGTCGAGCCTTTGGTTTCATTAGATTATGATACCTTATTGTCGAACCTTCGGAGGATTGTAATCCCTTAAAAATTGATAGGGTATTGTATGAGAGGCCTCAGACGGTTGAGGCTTTAGCTTTGGGGGCAGGAACTGTTGTTCTCCATACATTGTTCCTTAATGCAATTTCTGTTGATGATATGCAAATATTGTATGAAAATGTGTTGCTAAACAATGTCACCTGATCCGTAACACTCGCACAAGCGAATAGAAGACGTTTACATGCCCTTAAATACAAAACTTGTGCATTTTCCAAATGATCATCACCTATAAAACTAGTTATAGTTGAACATTGGAGAATTTCCCATGCATTAAAATACTCATTAGCGTAGTCACATCATGTATATACATATTACAAAATATAAAATACATCATGCAAAATGCATTTGACGAGCTTGTTGTATGCGCACATGTGATGTCTGAGGATGCTGCATGGGTTAAACAATAAACTTAAGTTCAAGTCCAATTCTCCTATACGAGCAGATAGAAGTCGACATGACTTGAACTATCAAACAAATGTACGATCACGACGTCGACCGAAATATTTGTTTTAATACATTCATTTTAGGCCTTTAAGGACTATAGTAAAAAAATCCACTTTTAGAGGCACAAAGCCTACAATGAACCCGATCGTCTGTCGGCAAGTAGACAAAGTTGACAAGGTTCAACCGAGAAAATGAAATTGCCCATAAATACCCCAATGATGGCCGTGTTGACAGAAAATCTCAATCGGAGGGGGAACCTCTAAACATTCAAAATGCCTCTCAAATCTCCATGAAGATTCAAAACTAAAAAATCACCAAAACTTAAGATATTTAAAATTGAAATAAAACACCTAAATACTTAAAGTAAAATATACATTCACCATTTGCAACAATTTTCTTAGGTGGACAAATTAATCTGAAAATCACTTCAACTCACAAAAAGTAAATATATGGTCGAGAATATCATTAGGATTCATTCTCAATCCGTCTCTTTCCAGGAATGACTTGGCACGTGTCCTCTAACTGATGGTTTTGCCGCCAAATGACACCATAGGTTGGATATGATTAGGACCCTCTGACTGGGTAGTTTTGTTGCCAAATGACACCATTAGATTACTGTCATAATCAGAGCCCAACAACTTCAAATCATTAAGTAATGAATCAATAGGATATGATTGATAGTACACAAAGTTCTCTATTAGCTAAGGTAGATTTAAATTTAGCCTCTTAGACAAATATTCACCCAGGTCTACAAGATACCCTTAGACGAAGCAATCATAGATGTCGACAAGGATTCTTCTGTCAGGTTGGGTCGACTACCTCCTTTGACTAAGTAGATCAGGGAACCATAAGATCTTGATCGGGTCTATCATCATTCCCCCCACCATCTGCTTTAAGTACGAGGTGGTGAATTTTTAATTTTGAATATAAATTTTCAAAGCCTAAATCATGCTGCTGCTATACGCTAGATATTATGTACCTGTGGATACTAAGTATCTATTTGACAACCAGCTTTAATCGAAAGTTCTCTCTCGTTATCGTGATGAGTAATTAACTATAGGGGCTTGCGCCTATAGGAAGCCTGAACTCAGATCATAAAGTCCTCGCAAAATGAGGGCAAAATCTCTAGGTAATGTCTAATTCGAAACTTAATCCGTCTTCTGAAAATTTGCCTCGGAACATACTCGTTAAAACTTAAAACTCTTTCCTCGACGACCTAAAAAATAAGATAGGGGCCATAGAGAGGCCAATGCGCAAATTTTCGGAGTCCACAAGCCATGATATCATTTGTAAAGAGAGCAAAATTCTAGAGGTAATAAATAGCTTAAAATTTTTTAGAGTCATGAGGTTGTTGAGCATTAGGAATTTTTAGCCTCATTCAACTAGTGTAGCAAAGCCATAGAGAGTGCGTGTTCTTGGCATGCGAGCCAAACATAGTGGGAGTCATAAGTGATCAAGTGAAGCATGTGAGCCAATGAGCAATTTGGAGTTGTGAGCCAACATAGTTGGTCGTGGATGCAACAAGCAGCAGGCGATGGTTTAGCTCAGTAGTCCGCTAGTCATAGCAAGCGGATAGGACTATGAGAGAGGATAGCAAGCCACAAGCAGGTCGCAGGTGGTTGATGAGAGGCCACTAGGGTTGATAAGTGGGATTTTGGTAAGTATGGGAGAATATGAACTTATATAACTCATACAATGAATTCATTAAGACATAATGAAAAATCAAATCAAAATTTTTGACAGTTTTGGCATATCAATTAATTTCATTATAGAAGATCTCTTATGGCGATAATTTTTATGTTAAGTGACTTGCTGTGCTTGCTGAAATTTTATGCTTGATGGACCATTTGCATGTCTCTCTATGAGAGATCCGAATGTTAACTACTTTAAAAAATATATATTTTATGAAACCAAAATTAAATTATAGTCGTATCTAGGAGTACTGTGTAATAAGATAATATCATGGAGAGTAAAAGTAGTTTTTTGTAAAAATAAATAAACCACCTATGTTATATGTAGCTCATTGCAATAGAAAAATAAATAATAACCAAGTTGAATGTTACATTAATAAATGTGTGAAAAAAATAGAAAACTTAAATGGAAAAATAATTATTTTAGAGAAACAGTATGAGAAACTTATTTAAAATAAGCTAATAGAGAAGAGAATGATTTTCTATGTCGTTCCTTATAAGAAATGATGACATTTGCGAGTCCATCATTTGCTTGAATGCCATCAGAAATTATTTCAGGTTTTAAAACTTGATAAACCCTTCATATGTAGTGGTTTCATTTGATCACACAAATGAACGAAAACAGTATCACCATTTTTGTAACTATTTACATACAATCAAATGGTTCTTATGCAATTTGGGCATGCATAATTAACGGTAAGAAGTAGTAATAATGTTGGTGAATATAGTTCATGTAAAAGGATTATTATAAAAAGGAACTGTTAACTGTGAACATAAACTGTTAACTGTGAACATGTAATGTTGCTTTGAATGAATAAATGAGGATTCATAAATTTGACCTTAAAATTTTGTAAGGTCTAAATTGGGATTATCTATTGTTTTGTTTGGCTACATACATTTTGACAATTATTTCTGCTTTTGCAGTTTTTTCCTCCATTTTTCTACTTTTGCATGTCTCTCGGTGGTTTTCAAACATTTCTCATATGTCAAAAGGGTTTATGGCCTAGTGGGTAGAGGAGAAGGTTGTTTCTCTAAGATCACAGGATTGAGCCATATATTCTATGTTTTATGGCTCACCACTAAAAACAAAAAAAAAAATTCTCATGCACAATTGCAATATTCATTACAGTTAACTTAAAAAGAGTAGTTCTTTTGCAGGCTGGTGCAAATATGCAGTCACGGCTGCCCCATTTGGGTTGGGGCAAAACCTTCAGCGCCATGCTCCTTGAAATCAACCCAGATGTGCAGGATCGAGTCCTAAATAGTTATATAGAGGCTTGACAATGACAATGAATATGACTTACATATGTGTCTTAGGCTTCGTTTGGGATATTTTTTTTTTTGTTGCTTTTTAAAATAGCTTTATAGTACAAAAATTAAAATGTTTGTACGAAAAAGCTGCTTTAAGAAGCAGCAAGAAAGCCGTCCCCAACAAAGCCTTAATCTGCACTGAATGCTATACTTTGTTTTTTAGGGAAAGAATGCTACACTTCTTCAAATACTATGGTTTACTTATTCCATTATTAATATTCGTTGAACTGTTTTCGATTTTACTAATTGGGATTATTAGCTTTAATATTTACATTTATGCATAACTTTACAGTTATTGTTATATATATGGACGCAAACAACACAAGGGAGAAAGGCAGGAACAATGGGACTGGCATGCAGATGAGAATTTGCATGGACTTCAGAGACAAGCATGTTTTTTATTTTGTTAATTTATTAGTCTGAGTGGTAAGGCCGATTCAAATTCAAAATCTTATAAATAAATTTCAAAATCTTACTAATTTGTATGAGTCTTTTCACTTTTCAGTTACTACTTTATTTGAACTGATTCTCAATCTCTGTTTATAGTAGCAAGCCAATTAGAATGATAACCGGTGTGAGACTTATGTTTGGTTTGTGATAATTTTTTTTATCGTTTTTTAAAACAATTTTTTAGTACGAAAGTTTTTAGTTGAAGAATTTTTTGTATTAAAAAACTGTTTTAGAAAGCGATAAAAAAACGGTTCCAAACAAAACTTTATAGAGGTATAAAAGAACTTGCAATTTCCTAACTTGCACTAAAAAATGCATATTTATGCATAGCAATGCACTTAATGCACAAATAGTCAAGCAAACACACCCCAACATGCAGACTTCCAGAAATACAAATACATGGTAGTCAACATTTACAAGAATTGCAATATTAAAAACAGCTACTACGATAACCTTACAATAAAGCTAATATCAAGAAACTAATCCGGAGTTATAGACAAAAGGGTTACAATGACAACAATTTATTGACTGGTACAGCTAATGCAAAAGTTAGTCCAAGCCTCCCACTAGATGCAATGGTTTTGATCTTTCTACACTCCCCTTCTTCCTGATTCCGACTTGGTCAAGCTTCGCAGCCGACCGAAGAACCGCACCTGCCTCTCCCAACCACCGCTAGCTTCTCTAACAGCGCACCCATTCCTCCCTCTCCTCCTCTTCTCCCTCCCTGTCGCCGCCTCTTCCTCCACCTCCACCTCCTCCTCCTCCACCCACCCTTCTTCTAATTCCTCTGAACACCCACCATTAATCCTCAACTCCAACTCTGCCATGAGCTCCTTTATCGCCACCTCCCGCTGGCCCCTATTCCTTAACAACACCTCTCCAACCTCCGCTGCTGTTATAACCACCCCATTCCTCGTGCACCTCTCAGCTGCATCCATCATCGCCTCCTCCTCCCCCTCTTCTGCCTCCCCACCAACATACCTCCCTAACATCTCCCTCATCATATGTGCTCCGCACCCTCCAAGTTGCATGTGCACATCCATTCTTCCTGGTCTCAACAATGCCTTGTCCACCCTTCCCTTATAATTTGTCGTGAAAACAATAATCTTTTCTTCCCCACAACACGACCACAGCCCGTCCGTAAAATTCAGTAGTCCTGATAAAGTCACCCTCTCCCCTTCATCATCTTCATCATCCGCCTTTCGCTTCTTTGAATGTCGCTCACCAGTTAACTGGAGGGAACAATCGATGTCCTCAATCACTATGATCGAGCGAGGGGTGATTTGGAGGAGAAGGGACTTAAGAGCAGAGTTGTGCGGCACACGAGTGAGTTCCAAGTCATACACATCATATCGAAGATGGTTTGCCATGGCGGCAATTAGCGAGGACTTTCCGGAGCCCGGCGGACCATGGAGGAGATACCCCCGCTTCCATGGTCGGCCAACCCTTGCATAGAACTCACGGCCAGCCATGAAAGAGTCGAGGTCGGAGAGAAGGAAAGAGCGGAGTTCAGGGTGGAGTGCGAGGGTTTGGAATGTTGCGGGGTGGCGGAAGGGGACGGAGGACCATGAAGTTGGAGATGAATTAGTAAAAATTCGGCGGTCACGGGAGGAGATTGCAATGGTGCGGGCGGAGGAAGAGAGGTGGGAGAGGTAGGGATGGAGAAGGGCAGAGGAATGGCGCTTGGGGAGGCGGAGGGAGAAGGAGCGGCGCTCTTCAAGGGAGTCATGGAGGGTGTCAGAATGGTGGGTCCAGAGCAGGCGGTGGCCGGCGAAGGAGTCCTGGAGGGAGTGGTTGGGGGAAAGAGAGAAAGAAGGTGGAGAAGGAGAGGATGGGGAGGAAGAGAGGGTAAGGCGAGGGGGAGGAGAGGGTGGGTGGAGGAGGAGGTAGTGGTAGAGGTAGAGGTGGACATGGCGGTAGAGATCATTGGGGTCGACGGCAGCGGAGCCGAGGAATTCGGGGATGTCGAAGTAGGAGTAAGGGGTGAGGGCGTCTTGTAAGGATTCCCAGAGGGAGTGGAGAAGAGACAGGAGCTGGGTGGGGAGGATGTTTTGTAGAACGGTGAGGAGGCCGAGAAGTGACCACATTTGGGACAGAAGCTCCATTTTTTATGCTTCTCCTCAGTAATGAAGCTATATTCGGGATTTGCAGAGGAGTTGCTGCGGGTTGAAGTTCACAGGTTTATGAAGAGGAAAAAGAAACAAAGTGAGTTGCAGAGTTGAAGGTGAACGAGCGTTCTGAGAAAATTGCTTTCTGCTTTTGTGCATTTATGCTTTCTGTTTTTCTGATTTGGAGGGAAGGATGAAGGTGCCATATGCACGTGCGATGCACGTGTATGGGTGGATTGTTGGGCAGCAAACTATATTCTTGAGCTTAATAAAAAAATGAATTCGACTTTTTTAGCCATATTTAAGATTTAACTGGAAAATATGAAGCCTTTCCCTACCTAGAGGTGTGAAAAAATAATCTTACTTGTCAACCCGACCCGAAGATGAATTTGATTTGGGTCTAACATTCTGATCCATTTATTAAATAAATCGGGTTCTAGTTGACCTGCCAACTTAATTTTGATTCGAAGGTTCGAATTGATCTGCCAGCTTAATTTTGATTTGAAAATTATTTGTTAAATATATATGTTTTTAAAATTTTTTATTTATTGGAATGATCTTATTTTTATTAATTAACTTAAAATTTATGATTAATAAATTTATAATTTTTTTGAATCAAAATGAGTTATTAGATAAGATTTATATCATTTGGGTTGTTAGTGAGTCATATTTAAGTCCACCTTTTTGACTTGTTTACCAGAACCCAATCCATACATAACTCTATTCTAGCTCTTTTTAATTAAATATGTAAATCGGTGTGGTGGATAAAAATGTGCTAGGCATTCATGTACTGGGTCAAAATAATTTTAATATAACATTTAATTGATTATTTATACATTATATTCATTCAAAATAAATATAATAATTATAAAAAGCATCCATATCATATTTGGATTATAATACCACTTAATAATTAGTTCTACATCCTTCTTGTATCAACATGTTAGCAACATAAGCATTTTTCATGTGATTATCTATATGTTAGGTTTCTCTTTGTCCTCCCAATTATTGAATTTAATTTATTTGAAAAATTAAATATCATCCATCTCTAAAATGCTGTAGCTTTACACTATGAGGCTTCGTTTGTTTTGATTTTCTTATTTTTTAAAATAGCTTTTTAGTATAAAAATTTTTTAATTAAAAAATTGATTTAGAAAGCAGTAAGAAAGCCTTCTCAAACGAAGTCTAAGCCTAGGGAGGTCAAGAACTCCCAATTTAAAATTTAAATAAATTAGATTTTCATGTTCTTATACAAAGTTTATTGCTATGTTTGAGGAACTTTTATTACGTCCGGTTGGAGGCAAAATATCGCCAAAAAACTCGGTATTTGCTTGGTACAACTAGGTATTATTTGATATTTGTATTATTTGATATTAACGAGAAATACCGCTCTTTGAAGACCAATACCGAGTTATACCGAGCTGTACCGAGAAATACCGAGTTGTACCGAGTTTTTCTAGGAAAAACTCGGTACAATTTTTGCATAACTCGGTATTTCTCGATTTAGCTCGGTATAACTCAGTATTGGGTCTTCAAATGATAGTATTCCTCGTTATTGTTTGTTATTGCTCGGTACAACTCCTTTTTTGGTGGGATTTGGCCTCCGACCGGACGTTCCTCTGCGTTCCTGGTCGGAGAAATAATAATTGTTCATGTTTTGAGAACAGTTTTTTATTATTTTTTAAAGCAATTTTTTAATACAAAAGTTAATTTTTTTTACAAAAAGTTGATTTAAAAAGTAATAAGAAAATAGTCCCAATGAAGCTATATTATCTATGTTTCAATCGTTCTCATTTTGCTCAAAACTTTTCAATGGATATTCTATATTATGAGTTAGAAAACATATAAAATCTTGACTCATATATCACTCATTTATATAAATATTAATTTAGTTAGTCAAATGCGTCTTGAATTAGTTAATTTTATGTATGTCATAAACATTTCTCGTATACTCATTATTTCACGAATAGTTTGGCTATTAACAGAAGGAAAACAAAGGCTTCCTTATTTTCGTTCTACTTCAATATAGTATATTTGAATAAGCTTATTTTTCATGTAAAAGGGAATATAAAGATAAATGTTCAGGATGGTAAGCTCATGTGAAGGAATCCAAGGTAGAAAAGAAAAAGAAAAAAAGAGAATACTTAAGGAAAGGGAAAAAAAAAGTGATACTGAAAAGAAGAGAAATTCAACGATAGATGCCCAATGCATTCCCAATGTCAAACATACCCCAATAGGATTCTATGATTGCCCACCCAACTTACGTACTGGAAAAAAATCAGAAATCCGGACAAATATCGGAATACCAGAGTGCTCGGTACCGAGCACTCAATTGACGTGGCGTGTTTGTTATTGGTCTCTGGACGCGTCGGTGTCGCTGACGCAATAATTACTCTAATTTTGAGGAAGAATCTCAAATTTATTCGATTTCAATTTAGTTAATTAGATATTATGACTACTGCACTATATTCACGACAAATCAATCATTTTAGTTAATAGAGGTATTCTGGACCTGGATATCTAAAGACATAATAATCATATTTTAGTATATACACTGGTTATATCCTAATCTAATTCATATTTATTATATATATAATTTAGTTTAAAATATATTCATTATGTTTTTTTTATATAAGTAGCTTTAGATTATTATCTTGTATTAGACTGTTTATTTAGGTATATAAAATTTTGTGATTGATATTAATATATCATATATATTAAAATAAGAATATAAATTATATTTTGTTGGGCTTTCAAGTAGCGAATGTTTGCTGTTGCCGTTCTACTTTAAGGTTAGACGCCGGTTTATATTGTGGGTACGTGAATTCCACAAGGTTAAAGTGTATTTATTCACATTTCATTGTACATCTTTAATGTTTACCCTTTTTGTGAGGGCTTTAATTCATTTTTGCAGCCGGGTCTAGCGCTTTGTCACTTCAAATTATACCAATTAACCAAAGGTGTGCGATACCTTTTTGGTTGATTTTCGGGTATCTGTTGTGTTTTATTTTCATTTCATAGGTTTTTAGCTGTTTGTTTTTTTCTTGTTAATTAGGTGGGATCTTGGCTCATAGGAATTTTTTTTTTATTTGGAATTGTAGTTGTTCTGAGTGATAGATGAGTATTGTTCTTTTTAAGGAAATTGTAACTTACCATTTAATTAATGAGCTTAGTACCGTCTAGTGGTGTACACCTCCATTAAAAATTAAAATTAAAATAAAAAATTAGTGAACCACGAATCGAACATGAGTTTATAATGAACAATGATTTTAAAGTAATATATTCATATTCCAACTTATATGAACTTTCTAGTCCAATTTGAGCAAACATTGAATCAAGTACAGTTTTAACAACATGGATTTGTTGTGTTCTTTTGTATATAATCGAGTAATATTACTGGTAGGAAATGTATTTTAAACATTATTGTGAATTGTCATTATAACAAGTTGGAGTGATTGTGAAACAGCATTAGATCTTCGGTATATAAACTCTAAACCTTAAAAATATTGAGGCATGCTCAAAAATAGGTTATATATGAAAGAAGATCAAGACAGTTTAAATGATTAAAAGAAACAAAATTTCATAAGCACATTCGGCAGTAAAAATAAGTTTGGGAAACACTATGCCTTTGATAGTGAAAGTATGTACTATTTATGAATAACACATAGACACACTTATGTTTACTATTGGAGAAATGCCTTATGTGTTAGTTAGCTTTTTCTTAGTTTGATATAAAGGCATAATAATAATAATTATATTATATATATTATATATATATATATATATATATATATATATATATATAACTCAAACCTAATTGACTCATCCAAATTTTCTTAAAACTATTAATTGCCGCATTTTCTTTGACCTAGTTTCAAGAAGGATGATCTAAATAGGTCATTATAAGTGACAAAGGTCGAGCCTATTAGATATTTTACATCCAACTAGAAAACAATCAATACAAATCATAAAGTTAACGTAGAATATCTGGAAGAAACTGTCATCAATATCGTAAGTGTATTTGATATAAGAACTTGAAATTTCTATTAAGAGCTTTGGTCTCAGTGTAGGAACCCACTTGTAGTTTTCATCAATTGATCCAAATGTCATGTTCTGAGTTTGCTCTCTAATCACCATAACTTTATTCTTGTTAGTGAAAATTTATAAGTCATCTCTAAACTATTGTTCAATTTTAGAGAGGGCCATTTAGATGCTTCTTCACTATATTATATATTTCATTATCAAACCAAGTAGATGTGGCTTGCCAATTAGTAGGTCTATTGACATTAGGTGTCTATCTACTATTGACATTTAAAAAGTTTGGTCATTTGCATATTATATGTATTTAACTTTCATGAACATCCTCAATAAGAGCATGCAATTATAACTCTTTTTTTCTCTACTAGCTCTAATCTTAACTCCAAAATTTCTTATTAATAATTTGGGTTCAATGGGCTTTATTGAAACACAAGAAATCATTTAAACATGTTCCAATAAATAGAGTTTGTTCATCTCCACATTGACCAATTAAAAATTCATTATTGTAATTGATAAAGCCCTCCACTATATGATGATTACCCCTAACTCTTCCATCTTGTTAACTTACATGATTTTCATTAGCATCATTGATTTTAACAACAACCTCATCATGACCACTATTATTAGACTATTTAATCAATTCTTGCACCTTGACATCAATTGTAAGAAGCATATAGTCTTTCTTCAAAATTTAGCATATATGATGGTATTACTCAAAATTATTCACTCTTAGTCGTGGACAAATCCTGTCAATCTCTAAAGAGCCAAAAAGAAAAGGCCCTTTTTAAGCTTAATACTTTATTTGTTGCCATTTTATCTCTTCCTATCTTTATTCTTGACTTCAACCCAAATTTCCCTGATTTTAAAAGTTGCAAAAAAATACTCTTTCATTTCTACTGCTAAAAAAATCTATCCGAAAATCAAAGATCTTTTTTTATCATCATCAAATCTCTTTTCAACAAAAAATGTATTTATAAATACAAAAAATCAATGGAAAAAGAATTCCACACTCACTTTTATAAATAACTTCCCATACCATATAATGAAATAGGTAAAGAATTACTGTTTTCTTATGTAGCCTTTTCCTTGCAAACATGCCCATTAGAAGGGATTTGCTTACCCAACCACTTTATAAATGGCTTATATAGCTTATAATTATTTATTTATTTTTTAAATGCAAGCATACATGCACATCACATATGTAAGCTTCGAACTCAAAATCTCTTAGTTGGTAGCCAAAGATTCCAACCAACAGATCAAGATGAGCTGCGTATGTGATCTTCTAGCATGGTGTGCGTGGAAGAAGAATTCAAGCCGGTTTACAAAAACTCATAAGAGAGAGGGCAGAGAGAGAGAGAGAGAGAGAGAGAGAGAGAGAGAGAGAGAGAGAGAGAGATATTTTGTTTTGTTTTGTTTTTTTT